CTTTAAATATATAAAATATAAAAACTCTTTAAATATAAAAAACGTACTTGCAGTATGTGAGTCAGAACAGCCGGCATTGTAGTCTACTCTACCAGGATCAGGAAACGTTCCTCCATAAAATGTGCTGCACACATCTGAATATTTGTGTTGAAGTGTTCTGGAACAGTGTTGTAAATACAACTTAACCACTGATTTCTAGACGTGTCCATTTTTGGAAGGCCAAACAAAGTAGTTTCGCTTTCACAACGAAACACAGCGTCACACACGGTGGCCTAGAGTGAGCGGTGGCGGCCTAGAGTGAGCAGAGGCCGGGGGCTACAGTGAGCAGAGGCGGCGGGCTTGAGAACGACGCGGCCGGCGGATTCGACAAAGGAGCTTCCGGAGGGCTTGCGGCAACCACATGTGACGACCCCAGGCTGGACTCCGCTTCGTCCACAGTGAAAGCCGATCCGGCGATCCACAGTGCAAAGTTGTTGTATTTCCTCAGCGACCAGCACGGATCAGCTCCAGGCATGACGAAGCAGACATCATCCTCTTTTGGAAGACCAAACAAAGTAGTTTCGCTTTCACAACGAAACACACAGCGCCTTCACAACATGGCGGTGGTGACAACAACAATGTGATGTTTACAAACAAATTTCGGGAGGAGCATGCACGGATAATTAACACGGCCAGTTCATCATTAGTGATTACACCATGTATCCAATCGGCGCAAGAGAAAACTCCCATAAATAACCAAGTACGCCCTACCTTCGTTATCTCTCGACTTTCAGCATTGGTACATCCAATCGCCGCATGATGTCCGAGACGGAATTGTTCCCTGAGGAAAACACCTTCGACAGTACAGCTCCTCCCGCATCTACAGCTGACGTTCAGCACGCCAGTGCTCCGCTGGACACCCCAACTGAGCCCGCGGCTGCACCTCGGGGCCGCAGATATCTCTCTCTTTAGCACGGAACGCACACACCAAAGGACGTCCAGCACCCCTCTAACATTAAGCCTTGTTTTGGGGGGCCGTAAATGCAGGTATCTGGCTGCTGTCCTGTTTTAAATAGCTTTTTGGGGAGCGTTTTTTAGGCCGGGCTGAACACCGAGCTCGGACCCCTCTCCCCGGACAGGGGGGGGGGTGCCCCGGGCTCGGGAGTCTTGCCAAGCTCGGAGCCCTCTCCCTGGACAGCACGCCAAATACGCATAACCCTTTATTAATTATAAGAAAGTGCGAACTCGTGAAGTGATGTTTACAAACAAATTTCGGGAGGAGCATGCACGGATAATTAACACGGCCAGTTCATCATTAGTGACTACACCATGTATCCAATCGGTGCAAGAGAAAACTCCCATAAATAACCAAGTACGCCCTACCT